GCATAGCCATCAACTAATTGTTTATTTGGTTAGCAAGAACACACTGCACATAAGAACCAAATAAATTACATTCATGGTTTCAACACACATGAATGTATAGAGTAATGCCAGGCCTTTCTTTTTTTAGAACATAATGCTGATTGTCTCAAACGAGTTATTACTCCACATTCTCCCGTGTTCTATTATTGGTTAAGACAACATGAATAATTTGGTTGAAAATAAAAAACATAATATTCATACCGGTAAATTAAAAGACTAGTTTTTGAGAGACACAGCAACACGGCAATTCCAGTCAACAAGACCGTAAAGCTATGTCTCCACAAGCAGTTGAAATTTATTCAAGGAAGTGCAGATTGTCACTGACATAGAATAATTTGGATGAAAATATAGAACATAATATCTGTAAATTGAAAAATTGACTAGTTTTTGAGAGACACAGCAACTCCCATCAGCACCATGGAGACACAGCGATTCTAGTCAACGAGACCGCAAAACTATATCTTGCCATGAAGTTACGAAAGAAAGCAGTCAAAGTTCATTTAAGAAAGTGCAGATTGGTCACTGACATAAAAAATCACTGTAATTTGGAATGTCCACCTGCTGTGTGTGCTATTGCCAATTTCACTGCATACATAACAGATACAATTACACTGGTGCTAGAGCTACTCTAAAAACACACAGTAGCAACACATAAATCATTTACATCATTCAAATAACCATCATTCATTGTATGTTTGGGAGTTTATACATATCTTTTCAAGCTGCATGTTCAACCTTAAATGCGTTTTGTACAAAAATCTAAATTGTCAAATAAGTAGTGCATTTGCTGTATTAGTAACATGTACGTTTACATAAAATTAAAGCAATGTTTCTCAAGTCAAAATAAGTTATATAAAATTAGTCTACAACAAATGCCATTATTGGTTTACATGTATATGTGTTTCTATAAAGCTAATATGCCACTAACTGACTGTAAAATAAAGATAAAACAAAAAATAGAAAAGGACAAAAAATTAATATTGTGACTGATTCAACATTTTAATTCATTTTTTTAAACTACATGAATATGTATGTTTAAAATATTAGCAAAAATGAGTGACTTTTTTGAGCAATGTGGAATTAACAATATACTGCCATTTTTAACATTTTAAATAGTATTGCTTGCTTACGATGTGATTCAAGTGGATTTCAAATTTCAGCGTACTGTGTAAAATTGCTAACATGAAGTACCTTACTACTGGTCCCTTTTTGCACTAAAATTAAAGTCAAACTACTAGTACACTGTACATCTTACCTTGAAAACAGACAAGTGTAGCAATCAATTAGGTTAGCTTGGTTAGTTACACTCTGGAAATTTTGACTTCAAAAATACTGTATGAAAGCACACATGTCATGGTCACTCCTGATGTAACCAGTTCCATGAAGTAACTGACCAGCCTGGGTATAGGTGGGAGGGTTTTGTTTATTGATTAAATCATAGACCCTCTAACTGTTAGAGGGTCTATGATTAAATGTTGCGTAATCGTCTTAAATATGGGGCACCTTGCTACCAGTTACATTACATTACTGGTATTGGAAAACATTCTAATAGCAATAGATTATTAAATCTGGAGTGATACAACCTCATAAATGAACCACTTATTCCTTAGGCCATGCTTAGACGCAATGAACCCCTTATTCCTTAGACGCTCCGTTATTTGTATACGAGTGAACGATTTCTTTCAATTCAATTTATCCTATATTGGTGCATTGATAGTGTTCAATAATTGGTAGCATTATAGTAGTACTGGTATTATAAAATGTTTAAATGTTACAGTCTTACGATAATATTAATATTTAATTTAATCGTGGAGACTCGTTTTTTAACCTCGCGAACTGATTTGAAACAGTGCCGGGGCAGACTAACCGCGAGGAACGAATATAGATATTGTTAACTATGAAGTAATTGTAGAAAAGGAAAATACTGTGGGTATATGATTGAACAGTCATGCCGATGTATTCACTCAATATGATGTTGGGGGGGGGGGGGCTTAAACTCAAAGAAAACACAAGACGTACACAATCTTTGTCGCAACTGAATGAT